CTCATTGGTGGGAGCTAAAAAATAAACAAATTAATTCACCCACATACACACGAAAAAAAAACCGGGGGGGGGGGAAGAAGATATAACAACTATACTTTTTTAAAGTTGTTACAACAAGCAAACGGAAAGGACATTCTTGGGGGCTAGGGGAGAGAGGGAGGAGGGAGGGAGATGGGCCATAATAATCATATACATTGTATATTGACAAAATAAAAATTTAACGAAAAAAAAAAATCCCTAGGTGCTTCTGTTCCCCGGGATGTTATATAGGACTCAGGCTGTTCCTGTCAGATTCCCAGCAGTGATATTTTAAGAATTAAGTTTTAGCACAATAGCCTTTTCATAGAAAGCATTATTTTTTTAAGGTGAGCTAGATTTTATAATTAGTTGCCTCTCTTAATCTGGTGTTTGTGATATAAGAATTAAGGATTGTATGTTTCTCCCTACGAAAACGATAGTATTTTGAATATGCATGTATTTAAGTTAAACAAATCCTCTCTCTTATAATTCTTTTCCAAATAAATCAATCCAGATTGTATTGTTTTATAGAAAAATCTAAATGCTAATTTGGTCTATGGTCATAGCAGAGAGACTTAAGAAGAGAACCCAGATTATGAGATGGGCTGATTTATTGCTCCTCCTACAACTAGTAAATTGTGACTGCTACTAAGCTGCTGTGAGTTCTCCAAGAATGCCAGTCTTGGGAAGAAAAAGAGGCCAAGAGACACAAGCTGAAATAGACACTGAATTGTTGACCACCCTTTTTTCTGAATTTTGTGTCCAAAACCGTATCTCAGTCATGCAACAGCAGTTACACTGCTAGACTTACTTGGTTGGCTGAAATGTCTCTTATCTTTGTTTCATTTTTCAATCTATATTCCTCGATCTTTGTATTTACCATATAATATTGAAATCATTCATCAATTTAAAAAACAGTGGCTGATTACTTGCAATAAATCACACACCTGACCTCAGAGAGTGTACGTGTTAACAAGGAGGACAGACATTAAACAAGTTCCAGCTTCAAAAGTAATTATTTAATTAGAGTTGTGATTAGTGCCTTGAAGGAAAAGTACATGGGTAAAGAGTCCACATAGAATGAGGACCTTAGGGCTGACCCCATGGCTCACTCAGGAGGGTGCGGTGCTGATAGCACTGAGGCCCCGGGTTCTGATCCTATATAGGGATGGCCGGTGCGCTCACTGGCTGAGTGTGGTGCAGACGACACCGTGCCAAGGGTTGCAATCCCCTTTCCAGTCAAAAAAATAAAAAAAGAACGAGGACCTTAACCAGGATAAGAATTAAGGAAAGGCTTCCTAGAGGAAAGAACATGAAGAGTGAGTGGATGTTATCACAGCAGAGAGAGGAGTAGGTCAAGAGTGTTTGAGACGGAGGGCTCTGAGTGTAAAGGGGGTGCCTTCAAGGACCTACGACAAGGCCATTGTGGCTGGAACATTATATATAAGGGGGAAAGTGGAACAGGATGGCCTGGAGAGGAAATCAGAGGCTAAGCCGTGACGTGATGTGCTTAGGAGATTAAACAATACCAGAAAAGAGGGGAAGCCCTGAAGGATATCAAGTAGGAAAGTGATAGTTTCATAATCAGATGAGAATTTTTGTAAGGCCACTTCTATTGCTTTGGGGAAAATGGATGGAAGAAGCCCATGGAAGCAAGGAGACCTATTAGAAGGCTATTGCAGGAAGCCATGGGAAACATGATGGTGGTGACAAAATATTTCAAGAGTGGAATCAATAAGACTTGGTCATTGATTGCACATAAGGAATGGTGACAAGAAGGAATCAAGAGTAAAGCCAAGGTGTATAGTTCGAGCAATAGGTGAGCAGTGGAAGTGTCTGCTGGAGGAGGAAAGACAGAATGCTAAGTTCAGTTTTAGATGCATTCAAGTCTAGGAGTTTGAGGGCATCTGGAAAAGTTGTTCATAGACAGTTCAGAGGAGAATTCTGACTAGAGATAGAATTGGAAAGGTGTTGAGATACAGGTGGAGAAGATTGTTCTCGTGGCAGAATGTAGGATGCCCAGAGGCTATGACTGGGCCTCGGAGCACTTTCCCCTTTATAGATTAGGTGGAGGAGGAGTGATGGAAAAGGATAAAGAAAGGAGTCAGGGAAGTGGGAGGGAAACTAGGAGCATGTGGTCTCATGGGAACCAAAGGGAAAGAATGTTTCCAGAGAGGGACTGATCAACTTTGTAGAATAATTCTGAGAGGTGGTACAACATAAAGACTATAAGAATACATTTAGTTAAGTGATATGGAAATAATCAGTGAGTTATAACAAGAGTTATTCCCAAGGAGTACTTGAAACAGAAGTCAGACCTGAGGGTTTGTGGAGGGAATAGGGACTGATGGTTTCGAGAGAGAAACTATAGGAAATTCAAACCAGAAGTTTGAAAATGGAGGGAGAAGAGTGGTGGTAGACAGAGGAGTCTGTGGTATCCAGAGGGGTTTTTTGGGATGGGTGGGGGTGGAGGGACTGGTTGGTTTGATGATTTGTTTATAATGAGACATGCATAAGTGCTGATGGAAAGGGTCTAGTAGAAGAGAAGAAACTGAAATAAAATTAGAAATGGAGGAAATACTTTATATTTTTGAGGAAAACCTGAACAGATAAACTGCAGAACATGTGTAGAATGGTTGGTTTTTGTTGGAAGAAGGAAGCAGTTGGCTGAATGAAGTTCCATCTAATAGCTTCCATTTTTCCAGTGAAATGGGAAGCAAGGTTATCAGCTGAGAATGAGAGAGTTGGAAATTTGAGAAAAATAGAATGGATTTAAAATGGATTTTGCAGAAATTTGGAGACCAAACTACCAGGCAATTTTGAGGATCTCACTGAAGTCACTGATCATTAATTTGTAGTGGTACCAATGTGTTCCATTGTGCTTTTCTTCCATTGTTCTCCGAAGCCTGGGTGTGGACATGAAGAAGATAGATAGGTTCATCCCACTTGCCAGAGAATTTGCAAGAGAATAATTGAAATTATGGGTCTTAGAATCAGTAATAGAAATAAAATAGAAGACAGAAAAGGGTAATTGATGATCGGATAGGAGAACAGATTCATGAATAGATGGAAAGTTGGAGGAGCGAGTCAACTCGAAGCACCGAGTAGAAGAGTTGTTGTCATGTGATACTTAACAAAGCAAGTTAAAATAAAGGAAAGTTGTGAATGAGATGCTAGATGTCTGCACTGTTTGATTGATGGAGTAGTTTCAACATTGACAAGGTCCACAGCATGACAATAGATTGATGAGGCAGAGCGGATGATTCACTGGAGTGGTAAATAATTGATTCATGTAAATTTTAAAGTCATCTAAGTTGATGGATGAAGTTGGAGTGGAGAGAGAGTGGGGAGCCTGTTAACAAAATCAGCAGTGGAGGAGGAGGAGTGACTGGGAGGTCACATGAAGACTGCCTCAAGGAATGGAGAACAAGCCTCAAAATGTGGAGGCTTAACTACAGAATGAGGGAATAGTGGCCTGGACGTGGTGATGGGGAGGACACTGGCCCCACTCGCAGACTTGGAGCTACTTGGAGTGTAAAATGGCCCCCATTTGAGAGACTGAAAGATGAAGCTTATTCTCAGAAGACTGGCTAGGTTCAGTTAAGACAGAGATGGAAGGAATTTTCTGAGTAGAGTTCGACAATATAAGAGGAAAGATTCACTTTTTCATGGAATGGCTGTTCCACTGTGACTGGTACATGGGTTAGCCAAGAATGAACAAATGGTGGCTTGGGTCACAGTCTTTCTATGCAGAGAAATGTTTTCTTTCCATATTTCTACTCTCAAAACCTAGAATACTGTGAGACACCTGGACATGCTAAAAAAAAAAAGTGTTAACTCTTATTGAAAGTTCAATTGCTCAGCCTTTTGCTGACTCTACATTCTACCATTCTACTGTGAAATTTTGAATACTAGTAATCATTATATAATAATTTAGATGCATATCCAAAAAGGTATAAGAGATTCACTTGTACCTGTATTTTCATCCGTACACATCTGGTGATTAGATCTTTGTTACGAGCTTCTCTTGGTATCATTTGCTTCTTTTACCCCTAAAAGTGAAGCAGTAGAATATGCTCTGGTTAATGTAGTGCTTTGGATACTTAGGCTGTAGTTAATTCAAGTGTGTTATACATGGAGCTTCACTCTCAAGACATAGGAAGGATCATGATGTTTGATCTAGATGCTGTCTACCTGTTGGGAGATGGGAAGAGGGAAGGATATAGTCACAAAATCACATGAAAACTTTTTAAACCACCTTATCATTATAGAGGAAAAATGCTATGCTATATAAGCATATTTCAAAAAGTTCATGGAAAAATAAAATTAAAAGACAATGCAAATCTTTCTATGAACTTTTTTGAAGTACCCTCATATGTGCAGGTAATCCACTGCCATTTACTTAAAAATCTTTATTCTTTTTTCCACTTCCCCTAGTAAATTGGAGCTCTACAAGCCTGATTTTTTCTTATAACACTAATGAGTAAAGTCCCAGAGTCTGGCTGTAAAAATTCAAATCTTTATAATTAAGTAAATCATCCCAAGAAAGGAGTTGAATGAATGTCCTCTTCCTTTACAGCTCTAGAAAGAGAGATGTGGCTTTTGCATTATAAACTAGGTTTTAAAAATCCAATTTGAGAAGGCACTAAATTGAGAACTTCTACAGCATATCAATGCTATTTACCTATGGAATATGAAGATTTATGTGACTATTTAGAACCCTTTGTCCAATTTTTTCTTAATATGTATCAGATCTTGCAAGTGTTTGAACAAAAATGTTTCACAAGATTATGAAGATTCTAGAGACAAAAATAACCTCCAAAAGAAACATGTAATTCTGATTGGTTGTCATAGTTGATAATTTGTTATTCTAGTAATTATAATATAACTGACAATTCTGTGTAACTAAATATAAATATTTGTAAGAGTTCTATGTCAAATCAGATGAGAATCACTATGTTCTTCTTCTCCCACTTGCTTTACAGAATAACTGAAACCCTGTGAGTCTGCAAGCCTTCTTATTTAAAAAAGATTTTTAAAAAACCAAATTATCATTAATTATGATATGTAACAAGTATTGAACTTACATTCCCACTGAAGACAACTATAAAAGCTTAACAAAATCAGTCATGATATGTAACAAGTATTGAACTTACATTCCCACTGAAGACAACTATAAAAGCTTAACAAATGTACAATATAATTGTTTTTAGACATTGAATGGTAAACATTTCAGGGCTATGATCCTTGAGAGAAAGCAAAGGATGTGAGCCCCCTGTTTTAATTTTCTTTCTGAAGACATTTATAAAACTGCTGAATAGGGAAAAAGGGACCAAACAGAGAGAAAAACACAGATAAGGAGGTCTAAGACTGTAGAGATCTAGAAGAGACTGAAGGGGAGAGTAACAAACAGTAGGGAACCATTGAGAGGATATATATATAATTTCTCTCAGATACTTGGCCAGATCCAAAGGTGTGCAATTGCAGGGTGAAACTGTGGGAAGCCCAAGAAAAAGAACAGCTGCTAAGAGGCTAACTGAGCAGAAATATTGGACTTTACACATTACTGGGGAATCATTAAGAAACCTTGGTAGACACCCCAAGCTTTCACTTGAGACCCCAGAAATATCTCACCTGAGGAAAAGGACCCCTACTAGGAGTAAAGGCAAAGATGAAATAGATCTGCCCTGGGCCGGCCCGGTGGCGCACTGCTATAGTGCGCCGCTTGGGAAGCACGGCAGCGCTCCCGCCAAGGGTTCGGATCCCACATACAGACCGGTTCCCGCTCAATGGCGCAACACCGAGGGTTGTGATCCCTTGCCGGTCCCGGTCCGGTACGGGGGCGACACTGAGGGTTGCGATCCATTGCCGGACATGGAAAAAGACAAAAAGGAAAAAAAAAAAAAAAAAGAAATAGATCTGCCCTAACAAGGCATAAGACCAAGCCTTGACAAGATCAAAGTGATCCTTCAGTAACTTAACATAATTCAGAACCTGTCCACAATGTCCAGCATACAATAAAAATTACCAGACATTTGAAGAAACAGAAAAAGGACACTGAAAATCAAGAGAAAAATATGGCCAGTGGAAGCAGACCCAGAGATTATCATTACCGATATTAAAAAAAAAAAAAAAGGCAGAGGAAAGATTAACAGGATGAAGTATTTTAACAAAGAATGAAACATTTTTTTAAAAAATCAATCAAGTTTTGGTGAAGAAGAGGAAACCCAAGACCAAATGCAGACTATGACAAACAAATCTGTTTGTG